CTGGTGGGACTCTTTCTCTCCCACTCTCTCTCTCTCTGCCCCTTGCTCACTCATGCTCTCTCTGTCTCTCTCATAAATACATACATACATACATACATACATACATACATACATACATACATAAAATACATTTTAAAAGTATTTTTCAAAAAGAAGAAATTGCTGAAAGCAGCAGGAGGATAAAAGAAAAGGGTAGCAGCACTGCCCAAACAGGAGGTTGTTCAAGAAGAGGAAGAGACAATACATGAAGACAGTGAGTGAGGTATTGAGTTGGTATCTGAGGTTTCAGAAGAGGAAATTCTTCAGGCCCAGTTCCTGACTTACCTGAAGGAATTACAGTGGCATATACAATTCCCGAAAAGTAAGGAGATTCTGTACCTGAGGTGACTGTGGAGATTCTGGTGAAAGCTCGGAAGACCTCTTGGCCAAGATGAAGAATTTGTAGATAATGGACTGACCTGTGTTTTTCCTGAGTTTAAGCCTATGCAACATTAATACATACTCTTTACAAAATTGTTATACTTTTTGAAGATACTATGTTACTTGTTGCTTTCTCCTTTCAACTAAATCAGTAACTTTTGTCACTTTCTCCCTTCGACTAAATTAGTTACTCTCCTAAAACCCATGTTTCATTCTAGTTAAGAAAAACATGAAAACTTAGCCACTGAAATGTTTTGGCCTCTTGGGAGGGGTGGGAAGTAAGGACCAATTTGATGCTATATTTCTTTTCTTTCCAGTAATTCTGCGTGGTCTGTTTCCTGAGGCCATGGACAGTAAGTAGTATGTGGTTCTCAAATATAGGGGGAAAGGACAGGAGGTACAACCTGTTGATTAGAGCTAGCAGGCATCTACTCATTGTATTTAGAATCATGCTCTATAAGAAAACTATCCACTACCATTGACTTGGCCAACAGTGAAAATTTATAGTACTAACCTGCAAAATAAAAATATCCTCTCAAATGTTACCTGATGAAATATAAGCTGAAATGTAGCCATTAGAAAATTTTGTAAACCGTGAATTATATATTCAAAACAAGACAAAGGCAAATAAAAGGAAGCTTTCTTCATGGGTAAACAGATAAAAGTACTTTCCAAAGTACAAATTATTCTATTTCTGCACTGACCAAGGAAAAGAAATAATTGCATCTGTGGAAAAATATATCTGGAGTCACTGTACTTTATTGAAGCACAAAGAATAAATTTAGGCTAAGATCATCTAGATTATACCCATTATATGGGCTACCTTCTGAATACTGCATTTTAATTTGATTCTCTAGATAATTAGATAGTTGTATTTGGGGCATAAAAGAGACCTAAATTTCCCCAGCAATGACTGGCATATATTTATTCACTGGAAGGGTGTCATTTACCCTGATCATGACCATTACATTATAAATTGATAAACTGGTTGTCTCTGAAGTTGCATACAAATAATAAAAGCTTGGAGGGCCTTGGTTACATAAATTCCCCGTGGTTTGGAAACCAATAAAAAATATGCATATGTAACCATTATCAGTAGGATGTTAACGTGCTATGCTAATCTTGTATTTTGATGATTTTTTGCTTTGAAGATACAAATGTCTGAATTGTATCTCTAGAGAAGGGGTGCCTAGGTGGCTCAGTTGGTTGAATGCTTCTGACTCTTTTCTTTTTTTATTTTAAATGTATTTATTTTGAGAGAGAGGTGCAGAGAGAGGAGAGAGAAAATCCCAAGCAGGTTCCACACTATAAGCACAGAGCCTGATCCTGTGCTCAAACTCAAACCGTAAGGTCATGACCTGAGCCGAAGTCAAGAGTGGGATACAACAGACTGAGCCACCCGGGCACCCCTGAGTGTTCTGCTCAGGTCACGATCCCAGGGTTGTGGCATCAAGCTCCACATTGGGCTCTGTGCTGATCATGGAGCCTACTTGGAATTCTCTCTCTCCCTCTGCCCCTCTACCCTGCCCTCTAAAGAAAGAAAGAGAGAGAGGGAGAGAGAGAGAGAAAAAGAAAGAAAGGAGGAAGGAAGGAAGGAAGGAAGGAAGGAAGGAAGGAAGGAAGGAAGGAAAGAAGGAAGGAGAAAGAAAGAAAAGAAAGAAAGAAAGAAAGAAAGAAAGAAAGAAAGAAAGAAAGAAAGAAAGAAAGAAAGAAAGAAACTAACTCTAGGGAAGAAATGTTAGTACAAAATGAAAAATGCGATCTCCACTTATAAAATAAGGTTCTAAAAGTTGATTTCAGAAAGTGCCCCCACCCAAAAAATAATAGCACCTTAAGAAATAAAAAGAATTATCTCCTTGAACCAGCATGAGCCTTCTTACCTAACACCATTCTTTACCTAGTCGAGAATACATTAAGAAGATACATTAAAATTTATACAAGAATGGTAAACACTATGCAGTGTCACATGTGTCTCTTTAACATTCCACATTTTAGCAATTGCCAATTAAAATTAGTGCCTTTTCTCCATGGCTTATGATTTACAGCAGTTGGCAGTGGCTTCCATGATTTCACCTTAGCCTAGCTCTCACATGTGGAGTCCCAATCACTGCAGGTGCCATCAGTGAGTCTTTGTATCTTGAAGAGAGTGATACAACATTGAGGAAAATAAGTTGGGTGGGTTAGATGTTATTCTTGAATTGTGTCATACGAAGAGTGTTTGAAAACATGGTTTCAGTAAAATGAAGCAACATAACATACTGCCGCGGCTGTTAGGTAACTAACAACGGTTTGGAAGCGGGTGATCTTTGGTTCAGCAGTGTTTTATGATCGTTTTATTCTCCAGTTATGTCCCTGTCAATTACAGATTATAAGCACAGTAAGAACTGGACTTACTAAGATCAGTGTTGACCTGAGGCAGTGATAAGCAATGTATTTTTTTTTTTCATGAAGGAAATGTATTCATTATAGTGGAAAGCATTTTTAAAGTGATGTTTAAGGAGCACAGCTATAGTGGTGCAGTTCCCATGTTTGTGTTTGAATTTAGTACATCATTGTGGTTTTATTGTATTACAAAAATAGAAGCAGGGGTGCCTGGGTGGCTCAGTCAGTTGAGCGTCCGACTCTTGATCTTAGCTCAAGTCATGATCTACAGTTCATGAGATTGAGCCCCAAATTGGGCTCTGCACTGACAGGGCTGAGCCTGCTTGGGACTCTCTTTGCGCCACCACCTCCCTCTCCCCCCTCCCCCCCCTGTCAGGAGCTCATTCTCTCTCTCTCTCTCTCAAAATAAATAAGCATTTTTTTAAAAAAGAAAAAAATAGAAAACATATGGAAAGAAGCTTCTTTTTCTTCTTCAAAAGGAAGGAAAAAGTAAAGCTGGAAAAGTATGTGGGATTAATGGAGAGAAGATGGTTCAAAGGAACCTATGAATAAATGGTAGTTGCCTCACATTACCAAACGGAAAGGGTTGTTTTGATAAACTTCCCAGGTGTCGGATTCATGCATGATAGCAAGTATATTGGTCATAGTATGGCACTCATATGATTAATGGCCTTATCTTTAATAAATTTATTAGGAGTTTTTACTTTATCAGAATAATTTTTTAGAATAAGTCACATCAGTGACTTTAAGAAGACTTTAGAATTTCAAGAAAACAAAAAATCACGTGTAGAAGTAGGTGACTAAAACTTAGAAATCAGAATACTTAAAAGTAGATAAATGTGAGAAGAAATTCAGTTGATCTTAACTGATTTTAATGGAGTTGTAGAACTCATCCCAAATTGCGTATAATTAAAAAGTAGTGCAGATCTGGCTGTGAAATAAGTGTGGTTGGTGATGGTTGTGTTCATCCCACCAGATTTAACTTCATTATAGTGTTCTTTAGTTTATTTTAAAGTTTAGTTTAGATTCACAGAGAAGTACCAAATATTGCGAAGGACCTGTTCAGCCCAGAAATGCAGTAGGGTGGCATGCATTAAAAATTCAAGAGGTAGGATGCAAAGTAGATAATTGAGAGTCAACCCGGCATTTTAGTAATGGGTTATATGCACATTTATAGTTAGTTTCTTTGAAGGGCGTGTTTATTCCGTCTTTAAAAGTGAGAAGACTATGTATAGCATTTTGTTAGCCTTTTCTTAGTATTTATATTACATTCTTGTCAAATTTACAGCTTGTTTACAGGTGGTTTGTTTAATTATTCAAGCATGTGGTGAGCAGCTCATCTGTCGGATAGTGTGTTATGTGTGGTTGAAAGTAAAGAAAAATTTGTCCCTGAGCTTAAAAATGCTTTTGACTACCAAAGGCTTTGCTTTTAAAACTTAAATTTTAAATTAGTTGTAGAATTTTATGGAAGATAGCGGATTTGCCCATCCAGACTTCATTATAATGTTTGTTCATCTGTATCATTTAATGATGATGTAGTTTACTAATGCTGTTTAAAATACCTCCTCTCTCCAAAAAAAAGAAAAAGTTAAAATTTCAGTTTTGATTAGTGTGATATTTGAAATTTTTAAACCAAGGATTTATGCCCTTTCCAGGGAAATGATTTGATTCCCCAGGATGAGAAGGCTCTCTTAGAAATAAACCATATTTCATCATCCTTATTTTCACAGGCATGATTATAACACCTTAAATTCCAGGAAAATCTTCATCGCAGAGTGCAACATCTCCAAAGAATACTTAATCTGTCTCTTTAATAATTCTTGAACTGTGAGCTAAGAAGAACCATATTTTTCCTAGGCTGCAGTTTTTTAAACTATCTCTATTGGCAAGTACTACGTAAGGTCTTAACTAAGGAAACTCTCCAGGCAGACATTCCTATGCTCTAGTCATGTTGTTTTCTCTTTGCCGCTGTGGATTTTGTCATCACTTAATGAAGTGTTTCTCTCCTAAATTTCATATTGCAATTAAAGTATCAGATCCCATTAGGCATCCTTACATATTATTTGAAGGAATGATAAACGCCGGGGGGGGCCGCGCCCCAGCGCCTTTTTTTTTAAACCTGTTGTGTGATTGAGTTGCAGAATATGTTACTTCTTTGCTTATTGCTACCTACTTAATATCTTTCTTTTTTCTTTTAGGTTGTTTGATGTATGCACAGTGTCACGAACAGACAGAGAAACCAAACTAACATTAGTGTTTGAACATGTTGATCAAGACCTGACCACTTATTTGGATAAAGTCCCGGAGCCTGGAGTGCCCACTGAAACCATAAAGGTACCAAGAATCATCTGTCTGTTTGATTAAATAGTCACACTATTATAGCCTATTAAGCAGTCATATTCCTTCCATATGAAAATTGCCAGGAGGGCACCCAACTGGCTCAGTCAGTAGAGAATATGACTCTTGATCTTGGAGTAGTGAGTTCAAAGCCCACATTGAGCGTTAAGCTTACTTTAAAAAAATGCCAGGGGCGCCTGGGTGGCTTGGTCGGTTAAGCGTCCGACTTCGGCTCAGGTCATGATCTCATGGTCTGTGAGTTCGAGCCCCACGTCGGGGCTCTGTGCTGACAGCTCAGAGCCTGGAGCCTGTTTCAGATTCTATGTCTCCCTCTCTCTCTGCCCCTCCCCTGTTCATGCTCTGTCTCTCTCTGTCTCAAAAATAAATAAACGTTAAAAAAAAATTGCCAGAATTAGAGCTTTTGGAACTCAATATATAGTTAAATATATCAACCAGGATGTTCATATAATGAGATATATTCTAATTCATTGTTTTTAGGGTTCAGTGAAAAAACTGTTTTAGTTTTCATACATATTAAAATTATTGAAAAATATTTAAATATACATTATCTGGCCATAACCTTAGAAGGTATAGTGTTGTAAATGTAGCTCAGTCTTTTTCTGATGATTCACCGACTCTGAGGAATGTAATTTGAAACTTCACACATGAGCACATTGCATATTATAATTGTATACTGACTCCAGGATGTAACTTATACTATGTAAATCTGAAATACTGGCTTTTAGGCCCTCCTTTCTCCATTTTTCTTTCTCATTTATAAAACGTTTATAGGAAGCCTAAGTGCCAAGTACTGTCCTAAACCCTTGGGATTTAGGAATGATTTAAGACTCCTTACAGGTCAGCAGGCTACATGTGCTGTATTGACCAGACGTTCTTTCTTCCTTTAAGTCTAATGGAAAAACCTACTTAGAAAGTTTTGTTGGTCATACTTCTGTTCTGCCTAATGGAACTTTCCAGTAGATCTTTTTGATCTATGCACATCGTGTGCAGGTCTTCATGAAAGACCCTTCTGTTTATGTGAGTTAGGTGACTTCACTAAACAGACTCTTTACCTAATCATTCATTGTTGAGAAATGAATTCTGGAATTCAGCATTGTTTTAGATAGCAGGGAATAGCTGGAAATAGTTTCTCTTGTGTTTCAGTAATAGCCAGTTGGTATTGTCAGATACTGACACATTTAGAACTTTGACATATTGAATGATTTATTTCTTTGGTTTTAGATTGATAAAGAGTTTATGTTCCCAGCTGCCTTTCATAAAAGAATATAATGCTCAGTAGTGCTCTCATTTCTTCCTGAGCAGTTTCAAGGGCTTAAAGGCCCTTTAAATGCAGGTGTCCCTACTTATCTGTTCTTGGTCCTCTTCTCCTCCATACATGCATCCCTCTTTCCTCTGGACTTCTATTCCAGTTTTGTGGCTTCAGTTCTCTCCTTTGTAAGTTTGTCTAAAACCCCATGTTTAGCATGCAGGGCGTAGCCCCTTTTCATGGATGATATGGTCTGCCAAAATAGACTCTTAGTGTGGTTCATCATTTCCTACCTGTGTGGTCCTCCTGCTCAGTGCCATTTCTTTACTCCCCATCAATAACCATCTGCTTAAGTATCTGGCTCACCCCAGATAGTGTTTGACCAACTTTCACAGGTGGATATAACCTTATTTGTCAAACAGCACTAGTTCTACACATCTCCTCTTCTTTGTTAGATTTTCTACCTTTAATTGTATTTGTATCCATATTTTAACTATTCATTCATCTTTGTATCCTGACAGTCCCTACACAATGATTTATACACATAAGTACTCAATAAATAAGACACATTGACAACCTTTCTTTAGATGTGATTATTTCAAAATTATTTTTAAGTGACTTCCAACAGCTTAAACTTATACTGTCAAAATAACCATCAGCTTCTTCTGATGCAGTTAGTTCTAAGTTCAAAATTAGTTTGAAGGGGGAGTCAATTTTTTTAAGCAGCAAAACAAGATAACCATATATGTATATATCATATCATACATTACCACCTGCATAGGTAATTTGAGTTTCACATTAAATCCTCCTGGCATTAGAGGGTACTAAGTGGAATTGTTTGCTAAAGTATCATGTAGTTAAAGTGGTTGATAAACCAGACTGATGCGCTAAACTATGGTTTGATCAGGTAGGAGTAGAAACAAAGTGGGTTAGGGGGAATTATTATTATTTTTTTAATGTTTATTTATTTTTGAGAGAGAGCAGGTGGGGGAGGGGCAGAGAGAGAGGAGGACAGAGAATCTGAAGTGGGCTCTGTGCTGACAGCAGTGCTGGGGCTCGAACTCATCAACTGTGAGATCATGACCTGAGCTGCAGTCAGATGCTTAACCCACTGACCTGGAGGGCACCCCTGAGGGAATTCTTAAGGGTGGGGTGCAGGGGCAGGTAGGGTAAGATGAGGAACAGGCAGAAAGGTGGCCACCAAAGTGAGGAGAGGAGAGGAAAGGAGTTTGAGGAGTATTTGAGCCAAGGTTGATGGGGGAAGATGGGAGGCAGGAAGGGGAGAGGGAAATAATGCTTGTTACCAGAAGGTTTTGACAAATTGAACTGTTTTGTGGTTAATGATCTATCCATGCTTTCACAGTAAGTTATGAAATATTGCAGTCAGTTAATGTGTATGTCAGTGGTTAATTGAACATTTTTGCTAACTTAAAGGCTAGTCAAAAGACTTTTTATCTTCATCTTTAGCTTTTGAAAATTTTCTGAACTATGCTATGCTAATCTGCTTTTCTTCCTTATCAATTATTAGAATTTTTTTTTAATAATTTGAGTGTGAGTGATCTTTTAAGGCCATTATTTAAAACACAAGTAATCACTTAGAAGCGTTACAAAACTATCAATTGTATAATTTTAGGCCAAATATACAAATGATATAAAATTATTTTTAGTAAAGATGTGTACTTTTGTTTTTGTGATTGACTTCTTTTTAAGAGTTGGTGTGCAGGGTAAACATCTGCTGAGTAAGAGGTTCTGAGTTGGGGTTCTGGTTAAATGAATTTTGGAAGGGCACAGCCAGAGAATAGAAATATTTCATTACTGTCTAGGCTTATTTATAGGAAGTCTCAATAACTAGATAACTAGATCAAGAGAATATTATTGTTCTGAAAAATCTATTGGGAACACAGTTGGATTCTTATGTGGAATGTTTGTTGTAATAAGAGTTTTTCTGAATATGCTGCTACAAATATTTATTGAATATTTATGGACAGAGTTGTGCTAGCATTTGGGGAACACAAAAGTGAATTAGGCATGAAGCTACTCTCAAGGACCTTATACTATAAAAGAAGAGATAAAGTGCACCCAAGAAGCATGTGATACCCATTTCTGTGGTTATTTCAATAGTTTAGGGAATGTTTTCAAGTAAACACACACACACACACACACACACACACTTGTGAATGAACACAGTATATAGCTGATTCTGTGTATTACGAAACCAAAATATTTTCTAGAATCTTCTTCAAAATCATAGATACCAGTATTGACATTGGCTTGCAAGTGTCAGAACATGCCAGATTGTAAACTATAAATATGCATAAAATCTTAACATGAAATAGATATAAAACAGAAAATCAAGAAAAGACCTCACATAAGATCGTTTAGGCTAAGGGAACTTTCCTCAACTACCCCACTGTGTTTTCTGTGGCACTGTTTACCTGTTATTCACAAGTTCAGGATATTCTAGTGCCTGCTAAGGACATAAATTGCAGGAGGTAAACAGTACTTGGTTAAAACTGGAATGCTCCATGGTCTTTGACTAGATATTGTAGAGGTAAAATCTTTTTGTTCAGTACTGTTTTTATCAACATGTTTGTTAGAAAAGAACCCATGATGGGCTTATTTGACCTGCTTTAATTAGATCACCTAATTTTTCTTTTTTATGTTTTATTATTTATTTCGAGAGAGAGAGAGCCCACAAGGTGGGGGAGGAGCAGAGAAGAGAGAAGGAGACAGAATCCCAAGCAGGCTCTGTGTGCTGTCAGCACAGAGCCCAACATGGGGTTCAAACTCACAAACTGTGAGATCATGACCTGAGCCGAAATCAGGAGTCAGATGCTTAACCGATGGAGCCACCCAGGCATCCCGATAATTTTTCAAATGCATTTAAATACCATTTGTTATTAAAAAATATAAAAGCCAGAAAAGCATCCCTGAAGTCCTAAGTATTTGTGAAGGTTGGTGGTTGGGTGAACTCACTGGGATAAGCCTGCAATTATTGTGTGGTGGTCATGTGAGACTTTGGCAAAGTAGGTGAAGGGTACAGGCCTGAACTGAAAATTGCCATTGAGAGGCTCATGAGAATAAAATAAAATCATTAGTGGTTCTTTCCAACATTTTAAAGTGTATCTTATTCTAAAAAAAATAAATAAATGCATACATACATCCTATGCATATTTCATCTTGACGTCTTTATCATCTCTTCTTGATTTTCTAAGGTACATCCATTCATGTTGATAATGACATTTGTATAGAGGAGCCTGCTGACTGCTGCGCCCAGAAATCAACAAATAATGACATTTTGCTTCATAGACTTAACCATTGCCTTATTTTGTTTTCCTATTTCTACTTGAGAATGTTACCTTTTGATTTACTTTATTATGGAGGAATTTAGTGCCATCTTTATTTTTATATGAAATTTGGTATTGTCTTCTTGGGTTTGCTGCTTAAATTTACCAGTCAATAATTGATACTTTACACACACACACACAAAATGGAATGCCCTCTTTTACTGAACTTGGTACATAGGCTTAACTATAATAGTACAATATATTTCCTCGTGTATGACCTGGCTTCTCAACATCTTATAAACTCTTTAAGAACTTAGTATCATTGTTTGGACATTCTGTGCATGTAACATATCTGATGAAATTGGCAATATAATTTCACAAGTATAAATTCGAGGCACTGAAAGATTAGTCAGAAAAGATCAGTTGCCTCTCCAAAATAAAAT